TATAGTTAGTCAGGGTGAGAATCTTTCCAATTAACTCCTAGATTAAAGAATCTTCTGAATATTCTCCGGATCATTGCCTTGCTCATCTTTTAACAATGTATCTTTTTTTTTTTTTTTTCCTGTTTAAACACTGTGGGCCAGTGAGCTAGCTCAGGCAAGGGCAGGGATGGAGGCTCGATCCCTGGTACCACATGCCTTGCCAGCCTCAGCCCTGGGAACACTGAGCCCGCCAAGTCCGGGTGTTGTGGTGCACACTGTAATCCCAGTGCTGGGGAGGAAGAGACAGGAGGATCACCATGAATGCAAGCTGTGTAGTGAGACCCTATACCAAATACATTTAAAAAATACAAAAAGGCCTGACGGTATAAAACTTAATTTATGAAAATAGGCAGGTGGGATTTGGTCCCTGGGCTGTGGTTCCCCCTACCCATGAATCCCATGTCCATGAGACACAGTGGGCATATTTGCCCTGGGAGGGTTCAGCTACTGCTGACTGCCTCTGGGTAGTGTGGGTCACTAGCCTTCTGGTACCTGCAGCCCCTGGGAAGAGCTGCACCACCATACAGGATGGCACCTTCGCATGGTCCCAGGACAGCCCTCCCTGCCTGCACAGGTGAGAGGTGTGTGTGTGTGGGGGGCGGTCCTGCCACTTCCTGATGTGACGCAGTGCAGCTGTGCAGAATCAGGGAAGTGGGAGTTTTCGTGATAGTGCAACAGCATATCTGAGCCTACCCAGTTAGAAGGAGATGCCTCCCTGCACCCCAGGTGGCCGAGGTGATGGAGCAGTAGGAGACGGGTTCATGGTCTTTAAGACTTTAGCTTGGACCCTGTGCAGGGTAAAAACGCTGAAATGCTTTAGCTGGGAAGGGTTGCAGTCTGACTTGGGGCTTAACAGGTCCCTGCAGCTGTAGGTAGAGAGTCGACTACAGGAAATGAACAGGAGTAGAGGCAGGAAAACAGCACAAACTATCTCCATTGTTGTGTGTGTGTGTGGGTGCATGCATTTGTGCACAGCAGGTGTGTGTGTTTGAATGGACTGAATGTATGTGTGTCTATAAGCCTGCATACATGTGTGGCAGGTATGTGGATCGTAGCTGCCTTTTGTGTGAGCATGTGTGGTTTGCAAATACATGCATGCTGGAATTAGTGTGCACACATGTATGTGCATGCATATGTGCTTGTGTGAATGTGCATGTTTGCACACCTGGGTTAGGGTGTGTGTGTGTGTGTGTGTGTGTGTGTGTGTGTGTGGACAAGAACAAGGACAGGGGAGGTTGGAGGGTGGAGGGGCCAGCAGGACCGACTGGCTGGGTCTGGGGCTCATCCGTCCTGCACATAAGTGTGCTGGGCTGATCAGGGCTGCATTTCTCTCATGGCTTGCTAGGATCAACCTAACTGTGCCCCAGGGCTGTCTGCTGGCTGTTGTGGGTCCAGTGGGGGCAGGAAAATCGTCCCTGCTTTCTGCCCTTCTTGGGGAGCTGTCAAAGCTAGAAGGGTCCGTGAGCATCCAGGTGAGGCCACCCTCCCACTTGCAGTGTGTCCCCATCCTGACAACTGGCTTTCCCAGCCCCTCCCTTGCTAAGCCCACTCCCATCTCCTTCCTCCCAGACCAGCACCCCTAATCTTCAGAATCGCTCCCACCTCTGTCTCCAAAAATGAGTTGCGTTTCAGGGTCCAGTGGCTTACGTGCCCCAGGAAGCCTGGGTACAGAACACCTCGGTCGTGGAGAATGTGTGCTTCCGGCAGAAGCTGGACCTCCCGTGGCTGGAGAGAGTGCTGGAGGCCTGCGCCCTGGGGCCGGATGTGGACAGCTTTCCTGCTGGCTTGCATACCCAGGTTGGGGAGCAGGTGAGTGCCTTGGGCTTCTCGGTCTAAGTAGGCATTGCATTTGGGGACCACTCACTTCTCTGACCTGTGGTCAATGGGACAGGAAAGTAGGAGAAAAGGTCCCCGCTTAGGGTCAGACATGGTGTCCAATATTTGCTAATTAATGATTGAACATAGAGTCAAAGAGAAAAGCAGAATTGTGACCAGGGTGCACAATGAAGCATTTTCTGGCAGTTACTGGTAAGATGGTTCCGCTTGTATCTAGATGTCCCTGCAAAGCTTCCTGAGGTTGTAAGTTGGGCTTTCCAGAGGGGGGTGGCTCTAGGGTATGTGGGGGACTCTGGGATTGAGGCTGTGGTGCAGGGATTAAGGATGGCCCACCCTGGGTGTGGGTTGCATGACCCCAAAAGTGGGTAGCCTGTAGCCTTGAAGTTATAAAAGGGAGAGGCAGGTGTTCCTGTTGCTGTCGTTGCTTGCTGCTTGCTGTCTTCTGTTTTCTGTCTGCCCTGCTTTGCCATGAACTGTTTTTCCTCCTTGATACACCCTGCCTTGCAGCCAGCTGACTATGGACTGAAACCTCTGCACACTGTGAGCCAAAATAAACCTTTCTCCTTTAACTTTGGATGTCTTAGCAATAAGAAAAGTAACTAAGACAAAGACGTAGATTACTGCTCTGCTGTCTCCTGCTGAGTGATGTCGGTCATATCTCTTCTCCTGTCTGGGCCCCAGCAAAGGGTCTGGGCAGAGATGTACAATAAACAGGATATAGGCAGGCATCCAGACCAAATGTGGCCCACTGCCTGGTTTTGTAAATAAAACTTTATTGAGACAGTCAGATTCATGGCTGGTTTATCACTCAAAGGTTAGAGCTCAGTAGTCGTTATAGACTGTGTGTCCCAAAGTCTTATACCTCTTACCCTCTGACCTTTCCCAGACAAAAGCTTGCTGACCTCTGGATTAAAGGATGGTCAGTGGGAAAATGGGATTTCAATAATGGAGTGGGAGAAGTTTCCAAGGAGAAGAGGAGAGAGCCCAGGGAGGGCCCTAGAGAGCCTCCTAAGGGCTGAAGAGCAGAGGACAAGCCCAACAAGTTACCTCTTTCTCCAACATCCACAGCTAATCCATTGCCAAGCCAGCTGTAACTTCCTCAGGGAACCTGGGAAGTCCCCAGTCCCTGCCACATTACTGCAATAGAGTCCTTACCAGCTGCTTGTCTCTGTCCCCAGCCCCCTTCCCACAATCCTTCACACTGCTCAGCCCAAATGGTTCTGCTCAAAAGGTCTTGCTTTATGCACAAAGCCGAGCTCCTGACCATCCTTGGCCAGATCTGCTGCTGTCTGACCCTACTTTGCCTCCACCTCATCTCCCATCATGCTCCCCTTTCTTGCTTCTGTCCAGCCACAGGGATCCCCACGATGTTCCATAATACCCAAAGTACATTCCCACCCCAGGCCCCTGGCACCTGCTGTCCCCTCACTTCTGTTACCTTCAGACTTCCCTGGCTGCCTCACCCAACACAGTGACTGTGCTCGGGCTACTTCACCCTGTGCCACCTGCTTTCTTGTCCTTATGGCACTGAACAGCACCCTCCTTGCTTGGGTCACAGATTGTCTGTCTCCTATGCCTACAGGGCATATGAATGAACCCTATTCATTAGAATGAGAGACCAAAGAGCCAGGATTTGGCTCTGGTTATTGCACTGTCCCCAGAGCCAAAGCCTAGGACCCTGCTGGGCAGAGTAGCTATGCAGAATGGACAGGTGGGTGGATGGGTGGATGGGTGGGTGGATGGGTGGATGGGAGGATGGATGGGTACAAGGACTGCAGAGTTACCATGAGATGAGGCACCAGGGAAATAAGCAGGGTTCTCCATGAAGACTGTGTCCATGGAAAAACTAGACTGAAAAGAATGGGGCAGTGAGCGGGAGGAAAGAACATGGGTACCGTGGGTGAGGACCGACCTCCGGGAAGCTCAGCAGGAAGGGCATGGTGAGGCCTGAGGGGTGCAGGGTGGGAGCAGGTCCCCACAGCTGACTGTGACCTGGAGGACAGGCCCAGCAAGATCAGGTGCACAAGGCTCAGTCCGTCCATTGCTGCCCAGCAGATGTGACGTAGGCCTGGCTCCTTGTCTCTGTGGCCACAGGGTATGAATCTCTCTGGAGGCCAGAAGCAGCGGCTGAGCTTAGCCCGGGCTGTGTACAGAAAGGCTTCCACGTACCTGCTGGATGATCCTTTGGCAGCCCTGGATGCCCATGTTGGCCAGCATGTCTTCACCCGGGTCATTGGCCCCCATGGGCTGCTCCAAGGAACAGTAAGTCCAGGGATGTTCATCAGCAGCCACTTCACAAGGGGACAGGATGCCCCTAGAATTTAGTCCTTACCTAGGTCTGTCTCATGATCCTCCCCTTGAGTCTGCTTTTCTCTTTGTATTGGTCAGCGTTGGCTGTGATAATGTTACATAACCAACAGCTCTTAAATCTCAGTGGCTTGCGATAGTGCCTATTTGTTGTTTAAGTGGGTATGGTTAAACTACTTAGGATTTTTCAATTTTATGATAGTGTAAAATAGATAGACTTTTAGCAGAAACCATGCATTTTGGATTTTCACCTTCTTTTGGGCTACTCATACTTTAGTGGTGCTAAACAGTGACAACTAGTGAGTCCCACAGTCACAAGGGGAACCCTGTGCTCTGTAGTGTGCTGTGTGGCTGAGCTAGCACATTCAGTAGGTTCGGTGTAGTAAATACCTTCCTGACCTATGATGTCTTTAACTTATCGGTTAATCCCCACATGGTGACCTCCAAAGCCAGCTGAGAGCACCTGTCCAACTCTGCCTCAAGTTGTAAATGAGGCCCAGATAAACTTTGTGTCCTCCTGTTTGGAGACGTAGCTTGAAAGAGACCCCCCAGATTCTCTCTGCTGTTTTCCAGAGGGGTAGAAACATAAGGAGGGCCTTTCTGCCCACTCTAAGCCCAGGGGGTGCAGCTCAGCCCCACCGTTGGCTCCAGAAGCCTGGCCAAGCACATGTGCATAACTTCTGCACCTCTCTACGCAGACACGGATCCTCGTGACCCATGCGCTCCACGTCCTGCCCCTGGTGGATCAGATCGTGGTGCTGGCAGATGGTGGCATCACAGAGATGGGCTCCTATGAGGAGCTGCTGCACAGGAAGGGGGCCCTGGTGGCACTTCTGGAGGGAGCCAAACAGCCAGGAGGTGGCGAAGGTGGAGGTATTGGCTGGGCTTTGCTGATTCTCTGCACCTGGCGGCAGTGCACTGAACCAGTGCCATGCTTCTTACTGTCTCCATTTCACAGATGAGCAAACCGAGATCCACATGCCTGATAAGTGGCAGCTCTGGGATGTGAGCCTGAGCAAGAGCATATGCTACACTGTTCCCCATTATGGCAAAGCAAGCACACCAAGGCTTAGTTCTACCTCTTCTGGAATCATCTGCTCAGCACTAGCCTGCTCTTGTCAAAGTGCCAAGATTAGGGCTGCAACAGGATTATAGTCCTGGAGCTGGAGAATAGAACTCACATGTTTGCATTGGCCAGTATGGCTGGGGCAATGCTGCACAACACACAACCTCCAAATCAGTGCCTTAAGACAGCAGTTGCTTTTTGTTCATGGATTTGGGGTTAACATGTTCATGACAGGGCCACAGTATCTATGTCTTGCTGCTGAGCAGCTTGAACTATGTGTGACATGCATGACTACACCACTTCTACCACCAGTGTGGTACAAGATGCCCGATGGGACTGTCATGCGTGGACTAATGGTGGTTCAGGCCAGCAAGAACAGTTCTGTAGGCCCAGATGAGAGACAGAGGGGCCCTCCTGGGAGACATGGCACCCAACATGAGGTTGAGTGGAAGTTGGCCAGTAAAGAACGTTCTAGGCACTGTGTGGAGCTGTGTGAGCTAAGATGCCAGGAAGCCAGAAGAAATCAGCTCTATATAATGTGTACTGCTGGTTTTCTAAACCCCAAGTGTATAGCAGTGGCTGCATTGCCTTTGCTAAATGCGTGAGTTGGGCAATGGGGAATGAATGAATAATGTTCCTGAGTGAACCCAGGGAAAGGGCTGAGAGGTTGGTGGAAAGGCAGCAAAAGCTAGATCACAGGGACAGATGCCTTCAGGGTGGTGGCTGCCTCAGTGTCTGGGTCCTGTGGAGTAGTCACACTGTGTGACAGGACCCCCTGGCCTTGCAGAAGCAGAAACTGCAAGCGGCACCAGTGATGCTGGAGGTGGAAGGCCCGAACACAGACCGGAAAGGTGAGTTCACTGCAGTGCTGGGCTCAGCAGGGAACAGGCTGTGTGCATCCTTCGTGTGACCACTGCGTCTCAGGTGGTGAAGTGGGCTGCAGACTATCACAAGGGGAGTGCCTGCTGGGTGGCCCCTGTGCTCGGTGTGGCACGACTTAGCATAAGTGCTTTTGTTCAGAATGAGTAGGACCCAAATGACAATGCACAGCATGAACAACTGGCCCTCCAACACAGAGGATGCTCTACTGTCATGGATGATTCGGGAGAGCACTTAGCGCATGACACCTACTGGGTGCTCAGCATGGTGGTTGAGGGAGGGGGGAAGACCCCAGAGTTTAGTGCTTGCCATTTGGCCAGAGATGCTGATTTGTTCTCACTTCTGAATTACAGGTTCATAAAGTCACCCCCTAGGAGGGGCAACGTCCTCTCAGAAGCCCAGAAGAAAGCTCCTCTAGACGATGCTGAGTGGGGAGGACAGCCAATACAGGAGGGCAGTGTGCGGTATGGCCGGGTAACCACCAGCCGCTGTTTCCCCTCCTACTGTTGCCCTCAGGCCCAAGTCCTCCTACCAGATACAGCACTGGGGGGAGGGAAATACCTTTATGGAGCACCTACTATGTGCCAAGTAAGATCCTTGATCTTCATTTTTTTAAGCCTTACAAAATCCTAGCTCTATTTTGGAGATGAAGAAACTGAAGTGTGAAAGAGTTAAGAGATTGTGTGTGTGTGTGTGTGTGTGTGTGTGTCCGTGTCCAACTTGGAACCCACATTTAGGTCAGTCTAAATCTAAAGTTTGTACTATTTCTCCTCTTCGACATGGCTTTGTCCATCCATCCCCCCCACCCTTCCTTCCTCCCACCCACCCTGTCATCCATCTGTAGGTGCATTCATCACTCCATCCCATCCATCACTCCCCACCTACCCACCCACCCACCTGCCTACTGATCCATCAGTGAGGGGGTAGGTAGATGGATGCATGTGTGGAAGACGGGGCACAGATAGACATACAGATGAGAGGGTGGTTGAGTAGGCAGGTGGGTGGGTGGGTAGGTGGGGGTGACAGATGGGATGGAGTGATGAATGCACCTACAGATGGACGATCTGTCTGTCCTCCCATCTATTCATGTACTCACCCAACTACCCACCCACCTATGCACCTACTCACTTATCCATCCATCCCCCCACTCATACCGTCATCCACCCGCCCATTCAACCATTCACTCACCCATCCAGCGTACTCTCCCAGGCAGTCTACCCTGTTGGAGGTTTTGTGATAGTGAGGGTGGCTGACAGCGAACACTTGCACAGTGATGGCGAATCCTTCAGAGCCTGCGGTGAGATAGCCTGGTGCAGCACTGTGATTCGCCACGACTGACTTAGACCACTGAGCAAGGAAGCTTCAGATCATCACAAGGGAAACAAACAAGGGTGATGAGTGCAGCCCCACTGAGAGTCGGGGCTGCCTGGATGGGGTGCTTGGAGGACAATGTTTGTGCTGAAGGATGCGAGGGAGTGTGCCATGCAAAGTGAGAGAGGGCATGCTCCAGGCTGATGGGAACATCAGGTGCAGAGTTTGGAGGTGGGAGAGCTCAGCGAGCCAGAGAAGGGAAAGACTTGTGATGCGGGCACGAGTCAGTGTTTTGGGAGTGAGAGTGGCAGCAGCAGCAGCACAGGTTGCCACCTGTTGATGTCTTCAGAAATCTGCTCTGGCCACAGCTGGGTGGAGAGCTCCGAGTGGTAGGACTGGTGCCTGGCATAAGCCGCTTCTCCTCTCTGCGCCTCAGTGTCCTGATCTGTGGAATGGAAGTGAGTGTGAGCATAAAGATGAGGCTGTCTCATAGTAGGTGCTCAGAAAAATGCTCCAAATCCACAAGTCGCCTAGCCTGTACCTTTAAGACTTCTAATGGTTCACTGGGGAATCTGGCAGACAGGGGTGGCAAAGCTGGGCAGGGCCTGGAGGGGAGATGGTGCTGCAGGTGGGCAGTACTAAGAGAGGATGCTGGGGTTCCTGTGACCTGTTTTGGGGGCCCCTGCTAGCCTTCCAGGACTCACCCCTCCAACCCTGACCACCACACATCCTACAGGTGAAGGCTGCTATGCACCTGAGCTACCTGCGCGCCATGGGCTTCCCCCTCTGCATCTACACACTCTTCCTCTTCCTCTGCCAGCAAGTGGCCTCCTTCTGCCGGGGCTACTGGCTGAGCCTGTGGGCGGATGACCCTGTGGTGGACGGGCAGCAGATGCAGACGGCCTTACGCGGCTGGATCTTTGGGCTCCTCGGCTGTCTCCAAGGTACCTGGTGCCCACGACCTCAGTCTGTCCTCCACTGGAGGGTGCTCTAGGCTCCCTTGCTCTCCTATCCCCGGCTCCCCTTGTCCTCCCTGAGCAACTGTGGAAAGTGTCCTGGGCCCAAGCACAGGCCTGTGCCCTTCAGAGGGGGGAGCCAGGGCTGGCAGACAGGGCTCACTGCCGTTCCTGGGATCCTCTGCATGCTCCCAGCCTCCACCACATGCAGGGACAGCTCCAGTCCACCTGAGGATGACCCTTCCCACTGGCTTCCAGCTTCCTGACAGAACCCGACTCCTCCCTGAAAGCCGTATTGCTGCCACTGCTCCCTGCTAGCTTCCTATCTTCTCCTTTCAAACAATGAACTGCTAAGGGCTGGCGAGATAGCTCAGCAGAACAAGTGCCTGCTTAGGCAAGTGCTGGGACTGGGGTTCCATCCCCGGCACTTCAAGCTGTGCCGGCCCCATCCCTGGGTATACTGAGCTGATCCCGAGACTAGGTGTGGTAGTGCATGCTTGTAATCCCAGCACAGGGGAGGCTGAAAATAGGAGGACCACTATGAGTCCAGAACCTGCATGCTGCCTGGTCCTCCCTGTAGGGTCACTTTGCAAAGTGATAGTACTTTGTCACACAAAGGAATTAATAGAGGCCAGGGCATTGGCCTTCTTTAGATTCGCCCAGGTTGCTCACGTGCACCTTTGCTACTGCGCAGATTCAACCCAGGCTGGGTTCATCGGCCATCACCTCGCCTAAGTTACAGAGCAGTCCTGTCATCCCCAGGAGCGCCCCCACCACCTCCGCCTCCAGTGCCCTGTCTCTGCCCCCTGCTGCTGCTTCCCTTTTCAAACATGACCTTGCTGAAGGGAGTAGTGGCAGCAAATACATGAGAGTAGCCTCGTCTTTACTTTTCTTATTAGTCCATGTTGATGCACTGATCCGATCTGATTTTAGTTTGGTGCATGGTAAGAGCTGTGGGTTTAGATTTAATTGTTTTCATGTGGATAGCAAGTTTTCCCAGCACCACTTACTAAAGATGCTGTCTTCTTTCCTGAACATGTTTTTGGCCCCTTTGTCAAAGATCAAATCGTTAAATGTGCTTGAAGTTGTTTCTTCATGTTCTGTTCTGTTCCCTTGACCCTCACGTCTGTTTTCCTGCCAGTACTTTGCTGTTTTTTTTTCCTCTGTAACTTTGTAACATAACTTCAAGTCTGAGATTATGATTCCTCCTGCTTTGCTCTTGTTATCCAGCAGTGCTTTTGCTATGCTGAGTCTCTTCTAGTTCCGTATAAATTTTAGGATTGTTTTCTCCATTTCTGTGAAAAGTGTTGCTTGTCTTTTGATTGGGATGCATACAATTTACGTATCAATTTTGGAAGTGTGGCCATTTGGACTACGTTGGTTCTGCCTAATCGTCCATTTTCTGATGTCCTCTTGAATTTCTTTTTCAGAGTTTGTAGCTTTTATTGTAGAAGTCTTTCAATTCCTTAGGTTAATTCCTGAGTGTTTAATTTTTAATTATGCTGTTGTGCATGGTATTTTTTTCTCCAGTGAATTCATTATCAGTGTTCAGGAGCACTGTTGATTATTGTGTGTTAACTTTGTATCCTGATATACATTGCTGAAGTATTAATTCTAGGAGTCCTTTGGTAGGATTTTTTGGGTCTTCCATGTTAAGGATTATATAATCTGCAAATAATTATGTGACTTCTGGGCTGGGGAGATAGCTTGGCAGTCTAAGCACCTGCCTAGCAAGCCTAAGGACCTGCGTTCGAGCCCTGTCACCACATGCCACGTCAGCCCCAGGACCCTGGGCATGCTATGCCAGCCACCAAAACCGGGCATGGTAGTGCACACCTGTAATCCCAGCAGTGAGGAGGCTGAGACAGGAGGATCACTATGAATTTAAGCTGCATAGTGAGACCCTATACCAAATAAGCAAACAAAGAAACAAATAAATAAAATTTTTTTAAAAAATTTTAAATTATGTGACTTCTTCCTTTCTTATGTTTCTTATGCTAATGATTTGAGTACTATGTTAAACAGGAGTGGTGATGCTGGAATCCTTGTCATGTTTCTGAATTTAGAGAGAAAGCTTTCAGTTTTTCCCTATTTAATATAATGTTGGCAGTAGGTTTGTCATAAATGGCATTTATCAGATTGGGATAAAGTCTTTTAATACTTTTTTTTTTTTCCCAGAACCAGGGATTGAACTCAGGCCCTTGCATTTGCCAGGGAAGTGCTTATTCCACTGAGCCATCTCCCCGGCCCTTTATACCTATTTTCTTCAGTGTTTTTAATCATGAAAGGTTGTTGGATTTTGATAAAGGCTTTTTCTGCATCTATTGAGATGCTCATGTGATTTCTATCCTGCTTATGTACTACCTTTATTGATTTGTGCATGTTAAACCATCCTTGCTTCCCTGAGATGAAGCCTCCTTGGTCATGATATATGGTCTTTTTGATGATTTGTTGCACTCTGTTTGATAGTATCTTGTTGGGGATGTTTGCACCTATCTTCATGAAAGAGATTGGTCTGTAGTTCTCTTTTTTGGTCGGATTCTTTTCTTGTTTTGGAATCGAGGTAATGATACCTCCCAGGAATGACTCTGGGAGTACCCCTTTCCATTAAAGTTTATTAAAGAGTTTGAGAAGTGTTGGTGTCAAACTTCTGTTAAAGTTCTTGTAGAATTTAGTAGTGAATCTCTCTGGACTTGGGCCTTTCTTTCTTTCTTTCTTTCTTTCTTTCTTTCTTTCTTTCTT